GCATTGATCCTGAGTTTTATGTTATTTAGGAAAAGATTCAACCCTTAGTATTTCTTTAATTTATTCAAGTACTTCCTACACAGTATTGGATGCCATGATGTTGCACCGGATAGTGCCTCATTGTTCTATCCGGACGTAAATATAGAATAATGGCGAGTATTTACTGCGAAAAGGGGACGATTGAGTGTTCGGTGCAGCATCTCGTCTTGAGTTCTATTCATGGAGTGAACGATCCACATCTTGGGACAAACTACCCGATGCTAAGCTTCTAGCCTGGATAGCTCAAATGTTGGCAGATATGAGATGCAGCTGTCAATGCACTACGGGGAAACCACGCGATGTGCCAATTAGAGAGTCCTTTAAGACAAGGATGGCAGTCAGGGAAATGGTTGATTAAATTAGCTTGAAACATGGAACAAATGCTGACTATCACGGAATTCGTAACGGTCAGGATGGAAGCTACAGCTTCTGACGTCATATGCTCTGATAGCTCCAGGATCGATCAGTTTTAATGTGCCCTCCACTGTGCAGTGGGAAAAGCTTGACCTGCCTCTTTATTTTAGAGTTACCAAGCAAGCTTTTTCTTGTCGCTGCTTGATCAATTGGCAAAGACATTAGAACGGAAACCAAAAAGCTTCACAGTGAAAATGGCACAAGTCAATTGGTGCATCTGCTTTCAGCCCTGTGCGTAGTATTACGTGTATGTGCGGGTCATGACGGATGCCGCGATCTTGGCCTCGGCCTGTGACAGTCCTGGTCAAGCTGGGCCTATTGTTAGAACCCCCCAAGAGGTTTGCGCGCCGTGTTCGCCGGCTTGGCACTGGTTTCCTGTCTTTGATGCGAAGGTTCTGCTTGGTCGATGACATCGCCAGTTGCTCGTCTCGTCTTGTCTCACCAACTGCATCCATCCATCGCATCAGGATCAAGGCTTGACCAGGCCATACCAGATGCTTTGTCGCGTGCCCAGTTTAGCCAAGACCATGACAAGCAAGCCATTACTATTACCATTGAGAAACTACCAAAAGCATTGTCACCCTCGTAATTCTGCTTCTTCCATTTCCTCTTCCTCTTCCTCTCACTCTCTTCTCGTCTTTCTGACTGCCCCTCCAATTGCTTGCTTGCTTCCCCTCATCTCACCCCTCATCCCCCCCGATCGATCGATAATCTCCTGCAGTGCAGAGACCCTGAGGTGACCTGAGCGCTTTGCTCTCTCATTCGACGACCCCTGTGAAATTGCCGTGACTCGCGCCATCCATCATGGCGGATCACAAGAAGCATGAGAGCTCTGGCTCAATGAGTTCAATGTTGGACAAGCTCAAGTTAAGCGATGGCTTACACGATGCAAAAGTTCATCTCGTCCACCAAAAGTCTGTAACTGGTACTCAATCGCAATAGAATTCGTCACTAATTTTGAGTCTCCAGGCACAAAATTGGTAAATTGGCAAATCTGGTATGACGCGCCCTGTCCTGTTGGTGGTGTCGCATCGCATCAGCTCCGTGAAATGAGATAAGACAGACGCAGACGAAAATAGTGACTTACATATGCGTAGTTCAATAAAAACCACAGACACGACGAAGAACACGAGCAACGATGTGACGACAAGCGAACTTCCATTGCCGAGCAGAACCGCTTCAAATCTTACTTCCCAATGCGCGCTGGCAACCATGTCAAGTGGTATGTAGATGGCCGAGATTACTTCTGGGCTGTGTCCATTGCTCTCGAGCAGGCCAAAGAATCCATCTATATCGCCGACTGGTGGCTGTCACCAGAGCTATTCCTCCGTCGACCCCCATACGCCGCGCAAGAATACAGACTGGACAAACTGATCAAGAGAAAGGCAGAAGAGGGTGTCCAGATTTATGTTTGTGTCTACAAGGAAGTTGAGCAGGCCTTGACTTGCAACTCAGCTCATACCAAGCATGCGCTGAGGAGGTGGGTTGAGCAATTGACTGGTGTACATCATAAGCTGACTCTAACAGACTTTGCCCCAAGGGCTCTCCTGGTCATGGAAATATTCATGTCGGTCGCCACCCCGATCACAATGTCTTTGAAAACTTTGGGTGAGTGCATTTACAGAGGGCGCAGGAGTTGGCGACTTTCCACATGCAACTGTCAAGACATCTACTGACGACTCGACAGCGATATGACATGGTACTGGGCACATCACGAGAAGTTCATTGTCATCGACTACGAAATCGCATTCGTCGGAGGCCTAGATCTATGCTTCGGACGATGGGATAACCACCAGCACCCTCTGTCCGATATTCATCCCACCAACGTTCAGGATGAAATCTGGCCAGGACAAGACTTTAATAACAACAGAGTTATGGACTTCCAGAATGTGTCTTCCTGGCAAGATAACGAGTTAAGCAAAGCAGACTATGGTCGTATGCCGTGGCACGATGTCGCGATGTGTATCCAAGGTGGGTTGGCATCAGACACCAAACCTCAACACAAAACATCAATTTCTGAGCTTTCTAACCCATTAACAAAGGCCCGACGGTATATGATGTAGCGGAGCACTTCGTACTTCGATGGAACTTCGTAAAGCGCGATAAATATAAAAGAGACGAGAGATTCGACTGGTTGGTGTTGGAGAATAGGGAGAATGAAGATGAGGACCTAATTGGCGTACAACGACCGAAACACCCCGTTGGAGAATACGTCAAGCATCCGTATACTCCTCTAAGCACTAAAAACCTTGAAAATAGAGGCACCGTCAACTGCCAGCTCGTCCGATCAAGCGCCGACTGGAGTAGCGGTATCTTGACCGACCACTCCATTCAGAACGCGTATATTGAGATCATATCCAAGGCTCAGCACTACGTTTACATTGAGAATCAGTTCTTTATCACTGCCACAGGCGAGCAACAGGCTCCGATCAAGAATACTATTGGTCGCGCGATTGTCGATGCCGTTGTGAGGGCCGCAAACGAGGGTCGCAAATTCCGCGTCATCGTGCTTATTCCTGCTATTCCTGGATTTGCTGGAGATCTCAGAGAGCAAGCTGCTACGGGCACGCGAGCTATTATGGATTACCAGTACAAGTCTATTTGCCGGGGTGAGCACTCTATCTTCGGACAATGCCGCGCTGAGGGCGTAGACCCCGAGAAGTACATTTTCTTCTTCAACTTGCGATCTTATGATCGTCTTAACAAGACTCCTGCTATCATCAAGGCTGAGAAGGAGACTGGTATCAGCTACCAACAGGTGCAGCGTGCAGAAGCTGAGGAGATTATGGGTGAAGGCATTCACGGCTCATATGACCCTGAGGACAGTGAGGGCGATGAACACATGCGTGGCGATAAAAAGCAGAAGGAGCTTGATGAGGATATCAAGAATACTATGGAAGCACGAAAGAAGTTTGAGGCTGCCATGCCGAAGGAAGAAGTTCACACAACGTCCTCTGTTGCGCACCATGCTATGGCTGGTACTGGCGAAGGCCTCAAGGGCGAGTCTTGGTTTGAGGAGGATCCCGAGTCAGAGATTAAGAACTGGGTCCAGGAGGAGCTTTACATCCATGGCAAGCTGCTGCTGGTCGATGACAGAATTGCCATCTGCGGAAGCAGTAACCTTAACGATCGAAGTCAACTGGGTGACCACGACAGTGAGCTTAGTGTCGTCATGGAGGACACGCGTCTCATCCCCAGTACTATGGATGGAAAGCCTTTCGAAGCAGGTTATCACGCAGCAACCCTCCGTCGATACCTTTGGCGTGAGCACATGGGTCTCTTGCCCCCTCAACCCCACGATGCTTCGCAGGATATCAACGCCATGCCTCCGACCGTCAACCCCAACAACGATATCTACGACCAAGATGAGAGCTACAAGTTTGTTGAAGATCCTCTCAGCGACGAACTTTGGGAGAAGTGGACAAGCCAGGCAGACAAGAACACCGAGTTATTCCGCCACTTATTTCATGCTGATCCAGATGACCATATCAGGACTTTCGACGATTATGATCGATATCTTCCTCCGCGCGGCGTCAAAGCTGGTCATATCTTTGATCAGTTCATGCCTCCCGAAGACGCCAGAGAGAAGCTGTCACAGATCAAGGGTCACTTGGTTTGGTTCCCCTTGCGCTTCCTTGAAGATGCTGAGATGGCGGAATGGGGATTGCAGGTCAATTCTGTGACCGAGTCTATCTACACGTAATAGGATGACTTATGGGATAATGTTTTGGCGTTGATAGTTTAATGATAACGTATATATGAGTTGAATCACTGTTATTTTGTTCATGATGACATCCTTGCCTTGTCTAGGTATCATGAGATGGGCTCCGCCTTGAGCGTCGTCAGCTAACACAACACCACATAAGATAGATACTTAGCAGGCTTTGATGATTCAGCGGCATGTCATTTCAAAGCAGATTGTTACACTCATATGTAGTGCATTATTGGTTTCACACAGAACTCTTTGTAGAACCATTTGTTTTCTGGTCTCGGCTGAGAGTCCTACCATGTCGTACTATAGATTGAGCCTCTCGTCTACGGCCTCCGCCCTGATCAACATTGGAGACTGTGGGGTTTCAGGCGGTCTCGACGGAACAACTAAATCGAGCCCCGAAACACAGTGCGGAGTGTTGGTATTTCCACCTGACCCTTCGATGAAGATCCTGTAAACGCCGTTGTATTTGGATGATAAATGGCCTTTAGCGGACTCTATATGAGCTTTATTAAGATCTTCACCCGCTATAGCCTTCACGGGTGTCTTAGAATACTGCTTGGCTCTGATATCTTCTGTTTCAGCTGCATGCACCAGCTTTATCTTATCTATCTACACTGTACGAATGCCCCTCCTTCACCGTCTCGAGCCCCTCACTAGGTCCCCTGAGCTAGACCCCTCCTGTATTGCTGCTCCCTGTCTAAACCTACCCGCAAAGGGACAGCTCAGCTTGACCGCTTCAACATTCAACGACACCTCATCGTTTTTAAGTCTCCTCCTCCCGCCAAACACTTTCTCATCCTCTTTTCCATTCACTTCTCCATCATCAATCATCATGTCTGCTGTCTATCCTCCCGGTGGTACCATCGTCCAGTCGCTCAAGCGAACCTTCGCCGACGTCCCCGTCGATGAGGCCAACGGCAATGCTGTCTCTACCGTTGAGTTCCTTGAGGCTTCCGAGTCCCTGACCACCATCTTTGGTACGGCATTGTATCAAAGTTTTGCTAAGAGGTCAATGACTAACTGCGCCTACAGATGCTATTGGTGGTGTTGCTTTCGGCCCCGTCAAGAAGGATATCCTTGGCAACGTCGAGGTTCGTCTCATCATCCCCCTTTTCATCGAACAAATCTGACACCTACCTACAGAAGCTCCGTGCTCGCCACGCCGCTGCTCCCGCCGAGTCCGCTACTGTCCAGGACCTTGTCCGTAACGAGCTCAAGACTGGCAAGCACACTGCCACCGAGGGCTGCCTCTGGCTCGTCCGGTACGAACAATCCTCCCCGAACATACTTCCTATCAGCTAACAACTCTAGTGGTCTTGACTTCACCAAGCAGGGCCTTGAGCACAACGTCCAAAACCCCTCCGTCGAACTCTCCGACTCCTTCCGCGACGCATACGGCAACACTCTGAAGCCCCACCACAGCTTCATGGTCAAGCCCATCTTCAGCGCTGCCATGTCCGCTGTTCCCTACCGAAAGGACTTCTACGCCAAGCTTGGTGACAACCCTGAGAAGGTCCAGGCCGATCTCGAGGCTTATCTTGCTTCCTTCTCCAAGGTCGTTGCCATCCTCAAGGAATTCATCAACAGCAAGGAGGCCAAGTGGTAAAGAAATTCATGATATACGAGAAATATTAGCGTATCAGCCTGCGATTTGGGCAGAGCTGGTGACGATTATGTTGCGAGTTGGAGAAAACGGCTTGATTGATCAGAATGCTTTCAGCATCGAGACGCTATCCTGCAGAGGATGTCTAAAAGATTGCGGCAGTAATAACTGCAGTCTCAGATGACAATAACTGACACGAATATACATGCATGACCATACATTTGATACCTTACTGTTGTTATGATGATCCTTACCCTAGACTCAATACATGGACTTGGACCAATTCATGAGTGCGAAACATAGAGCATAATCAGCAAGCTTATTGTTTTTTCGACTGGCTTCAATGGTCTATCGAGTCCGACTTCATACTCAGTCATTCTCGAGTATCTCATTGAATCATGAACCCCATGGTAGTGATATAATCTCTCAACCACTAACGCTTCGTCTCCAACATGACTCGTCCCGAAGACTTGATATTAAGCAAACAAAACATGCTTTAGCGTCAAGCCACATGAAATTCTCAAAACCGCCACAGATCATCACGAAATGGCTAACGCTTTGTGTCATGACGACCACGAGATCGCCATGATCGCATCCCAGATCCGCCTGAGCCACGTCGGCACTTCGGAGCCGAGCACACCACCCAACGGCCGAACACCATGTCTGTTTGACGGCATGGGAAAGTTATAAAAAGCCAACCTTGGGGTCTAGTAAAGTGTGGCGAAGGGCGTTTAAGAATTTGAAGCTTATGATGATGGCGCTGAGTGAGACGGTGGATGCTGCTTATCCTAGCTAGTTAGTTAATTAGTTGGTTGATGACAATTCTTTCAATCTTGGCATTCTGATTGAAAAGCTAAACGTATCGTGATTCTATGAACTATTTGAAGGTGAAATGCTCGCCTGATAATTCCGTCATGAGTAAACGCGATGCCGGAGTCCGATATATCCCCCCCGGGATCCTCGGGCCCTCCGGATCGCGAAAGAATTTCGGTATATTGACAAAACCCCGACGAAAAAGTTTCACTGTTTTGACTCTCAGTCACAAGCTCAGTCGACAAGACAATATGTCTCACACTATTCGTGTATATAGACGTAGAGATAAGCAGCTGACCAAGGATCCCCGCACAATGTTTGTAAGGCGAAGCTAGTCTAAGCTGAGAGTCTCTTAACGCATGTTTTCAATATTGTGATGAAGTTCATGTGTAAGTATGTGAACCAATTGGCGTGGGCGTGGAAATGCCACATGTTTACGACCTGGCCAATGCTGGTAACCCCGACGCTTCCGGAAATGGGACCCTTAAACCAGCTGCTATTGTTAAGTATCTTTTCCGTTGCTTGAAGTACCTGGTTCCGATTCTTGATTTACGCCTGGGGTGGAAATGACTGCAAGCACCAAATGCCGAAGGTTGTCTCTCGACAGGGCTGGGAATGCTTGTCTTGGATTGAGTTGACTTACCCACTTGGTAGTGGCTGGATCATGATCTTGACAAGAACCAAGACCCTGATGCTTATTTTTGCACTGCCACCCGTTCCTGGATCATTATCTCGGGAAATCTGTCTTATTTATGTCTGTATATGTAATGCATTTTATTTCGCTCAAAACCGATTATGTCCAACCAATGCCCTGCTTCTCAAATGTTGCCAAGTCTTGTCTCATTAATCGCATCATGCGCCGCGCTAGGTTGAAAGAAAAAGGAAACGACGAAGTACAGTAAAGTAATAAAAGCCGAACCCACGAGAATCAAGAACCCTGCTAGGGGCAACTACCTCCCGGACCAGGTTTTGAAGGAGAGGTACTTTGGTCGCTTGAGAACCGGCCGTTTCAATCTCATTGATCGCATGGATTCAGTGTCAGTCTCGCACTTCTGCCCAAACCAACTGGCCATAGTCTCCACGGCTTCTTGATACTCAATGGCAACACTCTCTTTGGGTGACATCGGTGGTGGACAATCCCATGCGTGTCTCTCTCCTTCGACTATACGCAATGTGAACTTCTTGTTAGCAGCCTTGAGACGATTCGAGAACTTGAGACCTTCGGCGAGGAGCATGTCATACTCGCACAAGACCAAGTGAATAGGAGGAAGCTTCTTTAGCAACTCATCAGGCATCAACCCCGGGGATAGTCTTGGATCACAACGTTCCTCGCGAGGAATGATTGGGTAGATGAAGGAAGCGTCGATAAGATCTGTTAGACCCTTGGGTAAGGTAAACTCCGGCTTTGAACATGTAAGCCGTTTTTCCGGACGCGAGATGGTCCAGTCCAGAAGTGGATAGTAGAGAGTGATACCGGCAATCTTTGGAGGCTCTATAGGAAACTTGTAACCCCATCGATCAGGGTCGTTAAGAATGAGCCAACTTGCCAGGGCATTTGTGGCCCCAGCGGAAAACCCCGACAGGATGATACGATCAGGGTCTATGCCGAATTCCGCAGCACGATGCTTGATTTGAAGAACTGCATCCACACAATCCTCGATTGGTGTTGGGAAGGGACACGATGGGGCCAGCCGATAGTTGACAGTAAAGACAACGGCGTCGAGATTAGCCATGATAGCACCGGCCCAACGGGCATCGTCGGTACCCTGACCGAGAATCCATCCGCCTCCGTGGAAGTTTATAACGGCAGCCCGGGCACCGAGCGCGGGACGGGGCGGCATCCATACTTCGGCCTTGATCTTCGTCTTGGCGCGGTCGGCGCGGCTAAGATCAGCCTTGGACAGGGTAGCATCGAGCCAGATGTCCTTGGTTGGTGAGGGTGCAGGAGGATCCGTACGATTAGCGATACTGAAGCCCAGACTGGCAGCAGAACGAATGGCTTGGGCACGAGCGATCAGGTACCATCTAGAACTGGACTCGAGAGGATTCACATAGCCCGGAGGTTCCGGAGTGGTTGGCCGTGACTCAGAGGGGGTGAATTCAGTCTCCATATCAGATGCGAAGAGGGGAGAGGGGAGGGGTCCTAGCCAGCAAACACCAACACCAGCCTATGAGATTATAGCTTTTGGGTGAGACTGCAGATTGCAGCGGGCTAGGTTGGTTATGGTAGGGGTCGAGAAGGGTTGTCAGGAAAAGACGGCAGAGACAAGAGAGGCTGCAAAGTGAGGAAGCACAATCCAAGCCCAAGTCCAAACCCAAGCCAAGCCAAGACGAGACCCGGCTGTCACGGAGAAGCGGTGGGGAGATTTGTGTGCAACACGTGGTTGACTCAGTATGCAGTACAGTACAATAATGGTACAGTGCAGTATTCTGTAAGCGCGGTAGGAGATGTAGAAAGGGCAAGGATTGGCTCGGAATTGTTGATCAGAAGGAATAAAAAGAATGATAGCTTGCTGATGTGCGTGCGTGCGTGCGCGAGGTTTGATGGCGTCTAAGGTAGGTTTGTGGTTTGATGGGGGATAAGCAGTTTGAAGTTGTCGACCGTCATTAGTAGTACGTGTCTCGCCTACAAAAGTGGAAAAGCAGGTTATCAAACAGTAGTAATCAAATCACCCACTGACTGAGGTGATTTCGAGAGATTGATTATGTGAACGTGAATTAGGCGATAAGCAAGCAAAACACGACATGAGAGACGAGACAAAGCTGTAAAACCTGGCCAGAACCAACCAAAGTTGTTAGGTGACGTGAGGTTGGAGAGTCGATGCTTATGACGTATGGTCTCCCGCTTAGCTGGGTCATTTTAGTGGTCAATGCGGGAGCGTAACGACCAAGCGGGTCTGTTTTTAGAAGGAAAACCGAGAAGAGACGAGAGCCTAGAATTATTAACCACGACGGACCGTAGATACGAGAATGTTCTCTTGAATTGGCTAGCTACCTCTGCAGTCACCCGTAAATTCCGTTTGGCATTTCATCTTCATTGACGTCAGGTCAGTCACCGACAATCTCTCGTAAACAAACCTGGTCATCTGCCCCTGATTCTACTCTACCTACCATTGATAGGGAGGTCACTACAGAGTCTTGGGTGAAATGCAGGTTATAAAACGGACACAAAGGCACTGAAACATGAAAATCAACGGTTTGATAGTCGTCAATCGCCGATGGGTTTAGGATATGTCATTGGCCTTGGCTGCATTATCAAGCCAATTCCGGAGCATCTCCACCGAACTCCAATCACCAGCTCCGTGCAGCCCCGCGCATCCGGGGGCGGGAGAGTCTGAAGAGAGACTGGGGCTGTAAAAATCTACAGCGACCCTCCTGATGTCACGGATAACACCTTGTCCTAAATTTGTATCACACGTTGACGTATCCGGTACTTCTGGCGGTACGTAGAGACATGCCCAGACGGCAAACGGCAGCCATCCCTTGCTTGTTTGGGCGCTTCTGGGTGAGGCCAAGCTTAGGACCTGAACGTCTGACGGCAATAAGGCCTTGGCCTTGGATGTGTGTCTGTGGCGTCCTCTTTGACGTGGTATAGTCTTCGTGGCTGAGTGTAATTGATCGACTTGACACATTAACCCATCAGTAAAACTCTGTGTCACTTTTTAGACATTCTGAAAGAAATCTCTGAGAGGCATACATTAAAAAATCATGACGGAATCAATTACTCGGACTTTGCGCCCTTGGAGGCTCTTACATCCACATGCGCATCCACATGCCACTACCGGGCCCGTTACTCATGGTGTGCCATGCTTGAATCAGCGATGCCCCATATCCTAGGGCTGTTAGCTGCTACAGTAGGGTGCTAGTGCTAGACCCGAAGCTAAAACCGGCGCTGACTGACCTGTAATTGCAATTGGATCTACCCGTAAATTTCTCGGTACCCTCACGCGCGGAACGAGTTACATGGCAATGCCGAGTCATCTGTCATCCTCAACCTCCACGCCGCGGGTTTATGCACTGGGCCGAGCCCGAAATGGAGGTTGCTAGAGTAAGCGATAGGAATTTGACAGTGAAGTTTTTTCTTTTCTTCTCACGGCATTGTAAGCAAGTCTTGTTTCCGTGAGGCCGAAAGTGCCGTGGATGCGGACTCCGCTATAAGTGATATAAACATCACGACATTTCCTATTTAGTGTTTCTATTCTCATTCACACCAACCAACCCTTATATTGACTCCAGCCTCGTGTCCCCTGATACGCTATTTAATACTTCCCTCGTCACAGCCACGATCAAATCGAAGGCTTGTCCCTGAGTAACAACCAAAAAGGAATCTGAATAACCAAAAGCAGCCCACTCGATCGTCATCGACTCGAGCAAGTATTGCGGAAACAGTCCCTAGCAAGCCAAGTCAGGATAGCAAGGATTTTTCAAGTGTGGCTGACCCACCGTGCCACACCCTCCATCTCAGTCGAGAGCAGTCCAGCCAACCATCCATTTCATTTTGAGACAGAAACAGACATTCCCGGCCAGGGCCCGTCATCACAATCAGAATCAAATCACCCCCAAATCCCCGATCCTCTAATCCCTGTCCTCCGTGCCCTGGTTCCGTCTGCGGCCCTGCGCTACGCGACGCTACCTAACTATGACGGGCATCCTTGTTCCCGTCACATCAGCCTTTGGCATGCCACTACCTTCAAAGAATCGTCTAAAAGGATCCTCGGCCACCACAAATTCTTCAACTCCCCCTTCGCCTTCTACTTCAACCTTTTCTTCCTCTTCCCTCTCTTCACCTAAAACTCCTTCACGTTTAATCACTTCCTTCACTCCAGCCCCAGTGCACGCCCCGTTGACACCCCCACTATCTGCCGTCTCCATAGACTCGGTCCTTTCACAAGCCAAAGCCACCAGTCTGACATCATCACCGACGTCGCTCGATATGGCGAGCCCAGAGACCAGCCGGCCTGCTTCAGCAGTGCTGAGCATTGACACAAGGCCATCCGCTGCTATTTTGAGCTCGGCTTTCTCGTCGCCTCGTTCCGCGTCTCCATCTAGAACTATTCGCGAAACCATGCGCGATAGCGCCGTTGAACTGCGCAACTCTGCTCGATCTAGTATGGATGGCACAACCACCACCACCAACGGCGCTGTTGTTCCCAGCAGCCGCACCTCTCTCGACAGCGGTCGAACAAGCATGAGCTCTGACTGGCCTGTTCACCCTGGCGAGATCAACACAATTGCACAGCTCGATACTCTGCCCATTGGCACCGAAGTCACTTTCCGAGCCCGTATCGAGACTCAGCGACCTATCTCAAAGGTTCTCGACTTCCTCCTCCTCCGCGACCAGACACACTCCGTTCAGGGTGTTCTCGCCCGTGATGCCAGTAATGCCGACTTTATCACATGGGTCCGAAAGATCAACCCCGAATCTCTTGTCCAGATCACTGGTACCCTCAAGACCCCTCCCGAGCCGATTCGATCGGCCACACACTCCAATGTTGAGGTCGACGTCGTGTCTGTTCACCTCGTCAACCCCGCTCAGAACCTCCCCTTCAGCAACTATAAGCCCCCAGAGACTCTGCGCAACCGCATGAACGCCCGAATCCTCGATCTCCGACACCCTTCCAACCAGGCGCTTTTCCGTGTGCGCTCAATGGTCTCCCGCATCTTCCGAAACACCCTCGAAGAGCAAGGCTTTGTTGAGATCAACACCCCTAAGCTTCAGCCTGCCGCCACTGAAAGCGGTGCTGCTGTTTTCGCTGTAAACTACTTCGGTCGTCGTGCTTTCCTCGCCCAGAGTCCTCAGCTCGCCAAGCAAGAAGCTATTTCTGCCGATTTCGGTCGCGTTTTCGAGATTGGCCCCGTCTTCCGTGCCGAGAACTCTAATACCCACCGTCACTTGACAGAATACACTGGCCTGGATCTTGAGATGGCCATTGACACCGACTATCATGAGGTCATCCAATTCATCGACATGTTCCTCAAGGAAGTCTTCAGAACCGTTTATGCCTCTCGAGAGCTCGAGGTTATTCGCAAGAGATGGCCTAGTGGTGAGTTCAAGTGGCTAGAAGAGACCCCCATTATCCCCTTCAGCGAAGGTATCCAGATGCTCCGTGATGACGGCCGTGATGTCGAGGAGGAGGATCTGTCCACTCCCGACGAGATGAGACTTGGTCAACTTGTGCGCGAGAAGTATGGTACAGACTACTACGTCCTCGACAAGTTCCCTGCCAACGCTCGCCCCTTTTACACTGCCAAGGACCCCGAGGATCCCAAGTGGACTCGATCTTTCGATATCTTCATTCGAGGACAGGAGATTTGCTCCGGTGGTCAACGTATCCACAACGTTGATGAGCTCCGCGCCAACATGGCAGCCGCTGGCATGGCCGAGGATGGTATGGAGGATTACCTTACTGCCTTTGAGCTGGGTGCTCCTCCCCACGCTGGTGCTGGTCTTGGTCTTGAGCGAATCGTCGCTTGGATGCTTGAGCTTGGCGATGTTCGATATGCATCTCTATTCCACCGTGATCCCAAGTCTCTTCCTACTAAGGCTCCTGGTCTGCCTCATCCCGAGGCTGACACCACCAAGCCTCACCACGCCGACTCTCCCCCTCCTATCGAGAAACTCATTGCCAACTACGGCGATGCTACCAACACCTCCTGGCTCGATGATCGTTTCCAGATTTGGCGACACTCCACTGGTGCCGCTGTTGGTTGGGTCCAACGCGAGAAGTTTGCTATGATTACTGGTGATCCTCTCTGCGACCGCAGCCAGTACACTCAAGTTATCCGCGACTTTATCCACTACATTACTGTGGACCTTCGATTGACACCTTTCTGGATGCTGGTTTCCTATGAAGTCCAGAAGATTCTTGCCTCTGAACTTCGCTGGCGAAGCTTATCCTGCACTGAGGAGCAGCGTGTCGACGCTGATAAGCACAACAGCGCACAGATCGATGGCCTCGCTGCCAAGGCTCGCCGCGTTGAGCGTGAGGGTGTCAAGATCCATGAGGTGAAGCCCGACGAAGACTTCATCTCTCGTGCTAACCCCGCCATTGAGGCATGGAAGGGCACTCGTAAGGGCAAGGGCAAACAGGTTCACCTTACTGAGGTCCGCCCCTGGATTGACCAGGAGCACCGCCGATACTTTGCTGCCGAGAAGGATGGCAAGGTCATGTCCATGGTCGTTTTGGCCAAGCTTGCTCCTCGCCATGGCTGGCAGGTCAAGTGGGCACTGGATTTCCCTGGTGCTGTCAACGGCGCCATAGAGGTACTTGTGAGCTTTGCTCTTCAGAACGTTAGCGGAAAGGTCACCTTTGGCGCTGGTGTTTCCGAAAAGCTTACCCCCGGTGAGCACGTTGGTGGTATTCGGGCCAAGTTCCTTAGTGCCAGCTACCGATCCATCGTCGACAGTCTCGGCCTCCGTCGCAAGGCATCATTCCGATCCAAGTTCGGCGCCCTCGGCGAGGAGATATACATCTGTTACCCCAAGCACGGTGTCGGCCTGCGCGATCTACAGAACGTCATCAAGTTCTTCACCGACTAAATTCGAACTGCTATCACACCAATCACGTCCATGGTGTTAAAGCGAGATATTAGCGAACGGAAGAGGAGGTTTATTGCGTTTCTTTTAAAGATACCATACTTTACATGAGATTGGACGTAGGAGGATACGACGGAATAACGGCCTGTGCTTTTCTTTGTTAACGGGATGGTTTGCTTGTTTAATGGCTGTTCTTGGATGGTGATTTTCCCTTGTGGCAGTCTCGCGAATGTGGCTTATGTTTAAAATTCCCCCTTAGATACCAAACCTGGATGAAATACCCTCTCTAGACGGATCATCTTCAACAGGCTGCGCCTGCTGATGGACACCAATACTACTAGTTAAAGAATACAGTTATTCAAATATATTGGTCTCCCTAGAACCTCGCCACGGGGTAATTGAGAGATGCACATCACTCTCTGTGAAGGTCTACATATTTGAGCCACCTGGGCGTTGGGGCCGATAGCGATCAACCATAAGAAAGAGACATAACTCCTTGGCGTGAAGTCTCAGCATATGCGTATATGCTCCCCGAATTAACTGTTTTTCATGGTGAAAGCGGAGAGGCATAGGCCGACTATCCCGTACCCAAGTATTGATACATATTTGGTGTTAAGAAGTTTGGCAGTTATTTGACGTCGGTAACCGTCTATTCCCAGAGCAGGAAAGATTCAACTGAATGTTGAATAAACTTCTGTCAATGGTGGCCTCGGTGTTTTAGCTCTCAGTAAGTGGTTTATCATGCGTCGTGGCTGAGGGTTCAGTTGCTCGGTATTCACCACTTCAGTACTTGTACGTACATGGATGGCTGCACAACCTTAGTAGTGATGGAGAGTATGCTCAAAGTATCCGAGCATCAGCTAAAGTCTTGAGCTAGCCTTGTGGTCCGCTTTATGCTAGGACTTCCCAACTTTAGGATAGGTTCTTACAATGGGGAGTTGGTCTCTTGCTTGCGTAGTCCTTACACACTCGACGACCCATGCTGCGATATATCTAGGGCAGCCGCAGAACAATAGGGTGAGTTATAACAAAGGGTCTAACTATAGCTTCAATAACTCAGGTTTGGTACTCTCCTTGTGCTGCACAGAGCTCTGTGCGTGTAAACTTGTATTGCCTGAAATACCATATCTCCCCCCTCACCCCCCTTCTTGAACACACTTGAGCATTAATTTGATGTCGCGAGCTTTGTTCCGGGCACCTGGTCTGGGTTTTTTGGGCCAGATTTTATAGTTCTTTAGTTGTAAAGCCTTTCAATAATGCACGTCCGGGGATGGCTTTGACGTTGACTGCATAATAACTCAGTAACGGGAGTGTCTCTGTGATTCATCCTACGTGAGACTGGTCGGAAGGGATGCCAGTGTTAAATTTAATGAGGAAAAGAAAAAAGGCTCACGCCTATAATAGTCCACAAAGTGGCAGCTGAACTGCTACTGTGTCATTTCGTGAATGCAGACATTGTTCAATTGACCTTACCTTGTGTTGTGCCTTTGTCAAGGCTTCCTCCATGAAAGAGCTTGAATCATGGTACTTTATAGGGGTAGCGATCTGGGCGTTAATTTGTTCATTACAATAGTCGGAGAGAAGGACGCAGAACTCTGACGTGAGTGCAACGATTTGAACACCCGGCGAACGCTCCCACTGCCAGAACAACCTCTGCGCCTAATGTCCACTCAGGAAGCCAGTGGTGTGTTCAAACTGACACTGCTAGAACACAGAAAGATGTGTTTGCTCTCTAGATTTCCATATAAATTGAAGATTGACCTCGATCAATCTCAACCTTCTTCTCAACTCTTCATCAACAATCATCCCAACTTCTCAACTTCACAGCCTCACACCAACACTCGACACCTTTTCACCACACAAAAGGCTTCTACTAAAATCCCTTCCACATTTTTCATCATGCCTGTCTCCAACCTCTGCAAGGTCGCTCTCGTTGATGTCAAGGCCTCTACCATCATCAACACTCCTGTCGACATGGCCAACCCCAAGTGCTCCTGCCACTGCGGTTGCAACAACGTCGTCACATTTTCCGGAGGGAACCTTTGTGAGCCCTGCAACGATAACCACAACCAGTAGATGGCGTGTAAGACTACCATTCATGACTTGGGTGTGCGGGCCGTTTGCAAAGTCAACCGTCATTCTTGGAGGATAACACGGACGAGAGAAAAACAGAAACAACGAAGGAAAAAAAGATGAAAGTAATTAAACCGACGAAGAAAAGGGTATTGTCTCGCTTCACTGTTTACGATTGACTGACGAACTGAGTATTGTGCAGTACAGACTTGAGGGATTGGTGATTTGTGAGAAGAGTACGAAGCACAGGTGGATTGGTTCAGAGACCAGACGAATAAGTAGAGAGTGGTAAAGCCTTATATACAGGACTCATTTTCGCCGCATACATGACCTTGTAATTTGTTTCAAGCCATCTGTATCATGCTGATGGATATGCCCTTCCCGGAATTCGATCAGTTTACTGACCTGTTCTTTCAATGTCTCATCAGATTCGACGCAGTGGACTCCCAAACGGGCACCAAAGTCCCTGAAAGCCAGTCTCTTGGAAGCGCTTCCGCTCATATCCGTGAATTTTCCATCAAAGAGGTTGTTGACTAGATCTATGACTTGCCGAGTAAATATCTGCGACCACTCCTCGTGAGGGTAGAAGTGGCAGGKCCATAAACCCATACCAAGATCCGATGGGTCACGACTGAGATTCATTGAGCCTTTTTGATGCATGAACCTCTCATATTCACTCATTTCTTGTTTGTGAAACTGGTTCTTTCGGCCCTGTTGTACTGCTGTCTCTTGGAGCATTCTGAAGACCACAAATCCACTCGCAACATCGAGGTGCCTGCCCTTCGGTGGGAACGAGGACCTTGTCCATATCCATGGAGATCTTCCAGATTATCCTGAGTCCACCTGAAGACTGGAAGCAGAACTTTGGATGGATAGCTTTGGGTAATTGGATGGCCAAGTCATCATAGGACGGGTCTTGGGTGGCTCAGGAATGGCAATTGACAGCAAACATGCAGAGAGTCAGAAAGTGATGATGCTGTCCATCTCTGTCGCTCCCGGTCGCTCGTTCGTTTCCTATTCTCAGGCCACCTTTAAGTGGCTCTGCATCGGTTGCGCCTGGTAGACGAGATGCTCCGTCCCTCGTGCGGCCCAAAACGTCGTGCACAGTCTGGGTAAGGCGCTTGACCAGAGCGAGATATTTGTTGTTTGTTATTTCTTCATAGAGTGTGATGAGGTTGACGACTCCGAAAGCATCTGTCCAAAGTTAACTCTATTTGTTGCCGCCAGAGCCCGGGTTATCAGGGGGAGTCCAGGTATTAACTTCTTTGTCAAAGTCGCCAAAGACCTGGTGCATCGCTGTCGTGAAGCGACGAGTTGCATCTTCGCCAGACATTATGTTTAGCGCTGTGTCGATATCTTGCGGATTTTTATGAATTGAGATACAGCTGAGCTTCCGTAAAGTGCGAGAGATTGATGGGCTTGACTGGGTTGCATCTTGATGACTTCATCCCTCAGCACTGACCTGACGTTCAACATTATGACCGAACAAAACATGTGACAAGAAGGAAACCTCGTACATTCGTAGACCGAGACGCCAAATAAAGAGAGACCCTAAGCTTAGGTCAATTTACCTGATCATTCATATAGTAGTTTAGGGTCGAGGTCCTACGTTTCTACTAATTTACCTAAATCCTTGTATTGTACCGCTTGAAATCGAAGCTCCTGCCTCACCAAAAACCCGGACTGCCCATACTTATCCTGGCTTTGACTTTCAGTACTTCAATTTGATAGAAAACACACAGGCGCAATGAGTTGCTCAAAACCCGCCGGACATATCGATCGCCAACTAGCCCACCTTCTTCCTATTAACGAACTTGAGAAACGAACCAAGATTGCGGTGTCATCACAATCCAAAATTCGAGTCAGCGGGTCAAAAGGTGACTTCTCCCTGCGCGCTAAATACATAGCCGTGATCATGACGATCCCTTTGCCGCTTTTTGAACCAGGCCAGCTTCTGTCACCGGATGGATTAGGCTTCGAGTTGAAGATGGCACTCGATTGTATCCCACCCTGCTGCATATACTGTAAGTCATCTTCGTTGCGTATATCATTTTGACAATAATATGAAGCTTTTAAGATCCTTCAAATCTACACAAATGAGAGCAGGCAAAATTCCCTTTGTCCACCGCCAGACAAACATGGGCCAACATCTATTGCATCAGGCATGTAGTGAGTTCAGAATCAGGCAACCGTTGCGGAATAACAGGTGTTGGATTTCTGAGCGCATGCTTATCCGTTCTATAGCTTATATCTGGAAGGAAGTGCTGATTGGATGGAGTTCTACTTGCTTCTTGTTTGGCAGAGTGCTCGGGTTATCTCTCCTGACAGGCCTTCCATAAGTCTCTCGAATTGGAACTGATTTCGAGCCCAACGAAACTGGACTGTACAGGCTTCTGGTGGGAAGGTTCAGCAGTTGGATGCTGTTGAGAATGTCTGCAGCCTTGAAACGCACGGCAGATATTGCCATTGAATAGGAATGAATGGTATTTATTCTATAATGCACATCAGTTTATTATCGTGTAATTAATAAAAAAAGGTCCAGAGTGTCTAAAGATATATATGCCTTTTTTTACTGTAAACTGTTCATTCTCAGATACCATGTAGCTTGTTATTGTCGTCCTTCAATGCCGGAAGAGTCACTGTGCTTGATCAATCTTGGAAAGGAAGCCATTTCATAGCTTCGAGTCAGCCTTTGTAACCAGCATCATGTTAGGCCAGAAAGACCTCTGGGAGCAACGGGCTGAATCATCTGACAAGCTGCACTTGTTCCATCAATTAGCTCGCTTCGTATAATGGTGAAGTGTTGATGCCGGGATTGGCTGGTCTTAGCTTCACCCAGGGACTCATGATATGTATCATCATCCCCGAAGTTACTTACCCAGAACACCACGAGAAGGTTCCAGCCATCTTTCTGGACCCACTGCTGCACCCCAAGTTCATCTGCTGCTATTAAATGTGAGACTCCCTTCACCAACCACCATTTTGACTTTGACATCAGAAGGTAGGCACAACAGCCTTGACACCGTCCTGACCGACCTCAGGAAGTAGGTATTAAGACCTCGACACCGTCCTAGCTTTTACACCAGAAGGTTGGCTCATAGGCCATAATAACACACCATGAAGCAGCAGATGACAGCGGAACCATTTGGGGTGCACAGAAGGGGTTAGTAAATAGACAAATTAGTCATTCTCGAGTATTCGGTTGCTGGTTTTCTTTATGGCTTCGAACGGGGGAAACTAACAGACTCGATGTCGCATACAGCATCGTCTCTTAGAGGAGTATACAGTGAATGATCTGCTGATAAGGTTAATCTCAAGTGATACTCGATACTAAGCTTTCTCCAATACTAACCAATGGCCCTTAAGGTGGCGCACAGGGGCACCTGAATTGGGCATCGGAGCTGTCTCTAAGAGGATGGTGAGAGTTGTCGCTGGTACAATCGAGCTTAGAGGTGCGTAAACTTCTCTGCTGTGCCCTGATTGATGATTGTTTGGATGAATCAACCGCTAAATGGAAGCCGACTTGCCAGTGTCAACGACTGTCAACGGCTTTCAACGGCTGTCACGACATGCGACGACTTAACAGCATGAATTAGGAAGGCTGTTGAGTTATAACACTGCTTAATAAGCTTTATTGCTATCGATGGGGAATGTTATAATGCCTCCTAATCCTTCCACCAAGTCTTTTGCCACTATTGCTTCCGACCCTGACTCCAATATTACTAAGGTAATTACATCGCAACTAGATAGGGATTCAGAAAGAAGCGTTTCTCACAGTCTCGTAAGAAAGCACGATAAGTGAGAGCTAATCATGCTTTGAATGATCAGCCATGCAATATTGTAGATATACTTAAGTGTCCTTAAGTTCGAAGATGACTCTTTCTTTCTCCTTGTGGTCGTTGTTGGGGTGTCTGGAGACGAACAAGTTCAACCTCTGAGTAACAGAAGAAGAGAATATCTTCGATTTTCCGAGAATCAGTTATCTAACACATAATACATGTGTAATACTTTCGGTAGCTAGATTAGTACCTTACAGAAGGTTCAAAATCTAACCGGTTGATCATGTTTTGTTTTTCTCAGAGTGACGCCCACGACACTTACTTCACGGGTGGACGAGCTCGGTTCACAACAGCAACGATTATGAGGTGCGAATAGCAATGGGAAACTGAAAATAATCGTGCCTATTTTGAATTCTCCAACTTTACCGTTTTGAGATGTCAATAAGTTTTATGCATCAAGTATATACAAGCCACTATTTCCCAACTAAAGAGCGAGGATTCATGGGTATGAAAGAATACAGTCTCTCCAACTCTAACTCCAAATCACCGGTGATCCTGTCGTTGAAGCTCTGGAAGTACCACTAGCGCCCATTGCAACTCCGATGACATCAGGTAGCTTCTGTCCAGCTCTGGCCACCACATTGTCCGTAAACAGAAGCGCACTGCTGAGGTTAGTATCCATGAGTCAGCTGGGCTGTGAAGGAGAGAGCGCTTACAATAGCACCAGGCTCTTGCTCGGAAGGTTTGTGCTTAGACTTATTGGCAGGGCTCGTTAGCACCAGTGTCAATCTCTTGTTGCTGGGGTTGGTTCTCACTGCCAGGCTGCTGGAAAGAGTTTCCGTTGCCACCTTGCTGACCGTTTGCGCCCTGAGAAGCATCGCCTCCTTGAGAAGCGTCACCTTCCTGAGAAGCATCACCACCCTGGGAAGCGTCACCGCCAGTAGAGCCACCGGAAGAAGCACCCTCAGAAACGGTCATGTGAGAAGATCCGCTGCTGAAGTAACCCTCAGTAGCGAGGATCTGGTAGTCGTGGGTACCGAGCTTCATACCAGCCTTCTCCCAGGCATCGAAGTGAAGACCAGTGTCGACGCTACCAGTAGAGCGATGCTGCTGGCGAACAGACCAGTACTGCTGGAAGGTCTGAGTACCGTCGATTGAAGGGGCGTTGGTGCGAGTAGTCTCGAAGATGTCGTAGGTGCTGCCATCAGCCTCAACGGTACCCTTCTTGGTAGCACCGCTGGAGGGGTTGTAGGTACCGAAGGACTCCACGATGTAGTACTCGACGAGAGGGTTTCGGGTCCAGCCATAGACAGAGAGGTAGCTGTTGCCATTGGGCTTGTACTCTCCCTCGTACGAGATGGTCCTACCAGGTATTAGCAAGGGGCCATGTATAAGGTTGGAGTGGTCTTACCGGGCCTTTCCAGGAGACCAGCCCTTACCACCGACGACGTTACCGCCATCCTTCCACTCCATGGAATAAGAACCTCCCTCGCCGTTGGTATAAGTGGCATCGGCACCGCCATCACTCCACTGTATAGAGTCAGTCATGGACCGAGAATAATGTTGGTTGTACACACCCAGGAGTAGTAGAATCCGTTGTTAGTACCGGAACTGTTGGGAGTACCAGCCCGCTTGGTAATCTTGGAGAAGAGACCTTCTTTGGAGGGCGCGGCAAGAGAGCCAGCTACGAGCGACAGCCCAGCGAAGACGGAAGTGAAGTGAACCATGATGAATGATTTGAAGAGAAAAAAGAGTGTGTTAGAATAGAAAACGAGTGTTGCGATGGAGGATGGTTCCTTCTACCATTGCTGCGAAGTTGTTGGTATAGATATAGAGAAAATGACCCTTGTTATATCGGTTCGTACTATTGTTTCGAATAAACATGTGGTGTTGCTTGGTCTGAAACAACTTGTGGGGCCGGCCCGTTCTCCCGATCGGACAATGATTTGACGTTTAATGAAGGAGGAACGAGGCTCGATTTTTCCGTCCATTGGACGATTGTTTTGATGTTTCCGGGAGATGGTGATTTCAATGCGTTGAGCTGATGGTGGGCCGATTAGATCTAGATGCCAAGCAAATATTCATGCTTTCCGCACAGCTTCGTCATGTTCCAAGAATCATTTCTACAAATGGTAATTTTACCGAGGATCGAATAAGTATTAATGATTCATGAGATAAGGTTTGGCCATGATATGTTCGATCTCGGCACATATTTTCATTACTGGACTTCACATCGTCTTCTGATATCAGATACAATGTCGTCTCTAGCAATAAAGCCACGGCACCTATTCCGGCTAAAATCCACTCGTTTAACCTCGCGTTCCACAGTTAATTTCAATTGAAACGGGTTAAGGGCCGTATTTTGCAACCAGCATCGGTAAACGGCAACATCCTCAACCTGAAACTTGGCATAAGCCAGAACCATGTGGCCCAAGTTTCACGTTTCAAGGATAATACCCGATATCAGGCTATTCTCGAAAGTCAAATACCCGAATACAACTGCATACATCAATCACATTAGATCGGACCCAGATATAAGTATACATGATACAATCTAGTTACACATTGATTGCATTTAGAGTACTTCAGCAGTCGAGGCTGACAAGTGCCATGGAACATTTTTAGCCTGAATACTCAATCAAGATAACGGATCGATCGTCTTAAATATCCGACATCAACAATGGATATAGTACGCGATTTCGGGTCTTGCTATGATCCCTTGTTACAGAAAAATTCCTCGAATGAACCCTACGTACATCCTATCATCACCGATGCGCCTCATGGAAGACTGCGCGCAGTCCGGGGTGAATGGTGGTTCAGTAGCATGTACCATAGCTTGACAGAATGACTAATTCAGCCAGAATGCGAAAATTTACTGGGCTTCCGGTCTCATTCTATCTTCACTCTATATCCTACGCTCTGTCTCAACCGTCTATATGAGCCTGTTTTCAACGCAAGTTCAGGCCATGGGCACTAAACCTGTAACAAATGCACCTAGCATGCGCCCAGAGAAGTCTTTTGTTCGCTCAAGAACCCCCAGAGTACATCATGCGTTCTTGGTACCATTGGTTTCACTTGGTGGCTTCTCTCCGACAAACAGCACCACCCTGAGATTATCAGCTCACAATTTCCATTACAATCACACGAATGCTTACCATGAAACCCTCCAAGTTGGTTTTCCGTTCAATCTCTTGCACATTCCTCGACTTCCGTCATTGTCTGGTGCCACATCAGCAGAACACCAGCCATCATCAGCAAAGTCAAGAGACTTTCCACGAAACAACTTCGCAGCAAGCGTCTTGGCAAGGCCACGTCGACGATACGGTTCCTGGCTCACAATTAGCTTCGTATCGTGTCTTGAAGTCATAAAATACGTACCTCGCAGTGGAGGCTGATTAGTGAGCCATCGAACCCTAAGTCTAATTAGAGTTGAGCCGCATGAATTAGGCTCGAGGGAACTTGCCCAGAAAAGCCCAGGAGACAGGCGTTCCGTCATCGAGCTTGATTACCAAGCTTGGCATGCGTCTCAGGACTTGCCTATGGGGAGTCAGCTAGTATTCCAGTTGGCTAAATTCAGACTTGCACTGTTCTCGGGATATTGGTTCGGGAGATGACGACTCGGCAATCATCATCTGTTGCCGTTCCCCAGTGCATACCCTCGGGTAAAGCTATTTCTTCCTTCGGAAGATCCTCGTACTTGAACAGCCATTTGTCATATGCCCCTGTTTCACGAGCTTGAACGCGGCCTGTCTTGGAGAGGAGATCTCGGACCGAGTCGTGCAATGTTCCCAACAAGACAGCCTCGCCGTAAACGAGGGGATATCCATAACCCTTTGCTACCACGACGCTCTCCTCGATAATTTTCTGGAGTTGCTGCTCATAGACAGCCGTGTCGTTGGTGTCAGCATTATCGGGATGCTCAAGAGTCGAGTATATCCACATTTGCGTGTCAGGGCCACCGCCGACGTCGATATACGCCGCAGTGAATCTCTTCGGAAGATCTACCCCTTCCTCAAGTTGAGATTCCGCTACCAGTATGACTCTTGCTGTCTCTCGTAGGCCATTTTCAAACTTGGTAAACTGAAGACGTCGAAGGAGGGGTAGCGAGTAGGGCAGTTGTTTAGTCAAAAGCGCCAAGAGCTGCTCTGGCACGGTCGTGTACACTCTGACAAAATCCGCCATTTCTATGACTTTCAAGTCCCTCAGACAGTGCTAGACTCGACAGATCGAGAAATGGCATCGAGAAAAATAGGTTGAGATACCTGGATGAATGAATCATTGTCACGCATGGGTAAATATCGGTTATCGGAAGGATTGCGATGGTGACGCTTTTTGGCATGAAAATGAGTCACTGGGATCACTTCCCTGTCTTTAGGTAAGAGTCGCGAAACTATACTTCAGTTCAGTGTGAAAGCTAAAACACCGAATCGTGTTTATTCTTCTTGCCTTCGATTTCGGGTGGTAGTTGAATTGAGGTATGACTTAGTCACTTTTAGATCATCTGAACTCAAGCTATATGTGGCGTATGTTAAAAGGTAGCCAAACGAGTCATGCTTAGCTTCGTCTTTGATGCTTACCGTGGCCATAACCTTCGAGATTACTGAAGCTCTGTTCAAGTGAGAATATCTTGTCCAAGGCCATGTATTGGGCCGAAGCTGATCCTCACCTCTCTGGGGATTCACCTCAATAATGCCACTGCCGGTTCAATTTTGTATGCCTACCAGTAACTTATACGTATTAAAGCCTCTAAAGAATTATCTGTACCTGAACAACCGAGTGAAAAAAGAAAGGACACTGATGAGATGAGACAGGATCTCCGTAAATCAGAGCTGTCACAAGTGAGCTACCCTACAGTATTTGTCCCAATAAGCAACACCAAGAAAAGTTCACAGACAAATAGCTGTCCAACATCCCTACTATCTTTCCCGACCTCTTTTGGGCTTCATGTAGATTTACAACGCTTTTTAGATGGATGGAGAATGGTCAACCCGACGTTGTTCGACTTTACACGATCATTACTCATTCCACTACCGACCGTTTAGAATCGTGATACAGCTTTTTGACGAGGACAAGGTGGAAAAAAAGTCCAAAAACGTCACAACTAGCTCCAATAATCTCACCGCTCGTCTAGAAAATAGCGTAAACTGACCACGAACGACCTTGTGATCTGTCTTGACCAGGCTATCAATGGCTACTCACACCAAAATCATTTCTTTAGCTCGATGGCCAACTGGATCGCCACCAGCCGACCTGCGACAATATGTCGTCAATCAGTCAATAAGTCTCTAGCTTGAGAACAGTCCTTAGTGTAATTGCCACTCTTGATGCGCTGTCCATTCGGTTGTCTCAATTTCTGGTGCCCAGTCCCGGTCACCTTGGCCAGATCAAGAATTCTCTAGTCTCCACCCATCACCAACTCCCCGAGAGAGGCTTGGTAGTCTCGACTCCTCGTGAACTCCCCGAAACAAAGTCACGGACAAATGACGGTCCCGAATTTGGACGCGACTTGAGCCGCGTGAGGGAAAAATTCTCTTTCAACCTCACAACAACATTGCGAGACTGTCGATCCACGACAGCAGCGCCTACACCACATCCACGCAACTCCGAGGCACGACAAGATGACCGGGATGGACGAATACCGAATGTCACTAGGGACGTGGTATGTGGGTCGACGCAATTAAGCATAATGAACTCTGCTGACATGGGAACATCTAGATTGTCCAGATTGTTGATCAGTTGCCCCATAGCATACGGGACCTCCAGTAGCCGACCGATCTTTACGCTGACGACCACATCGATCTGTCATCTATCGACGTAATAACTTTGTCGTGACAAGTGGAACAGACGCGCCTGGCCGTCTTTCACCATCGCCGTGGCTTTCGACGCAATTGACTATCGAGATGAGATGTCTAATGGCTTGTCACCTTTGATCGTTAACTTGTCACAATTCCACGGGCGATAACCAATAGTGGCAGGKGGAGGTTCAGCTCACAATGTCGTGCCCAATTGGAACCTTGACGAATCAACCAGAGAACGAATCTCGCAAGGCCACGACCAGCCACGAGCGAACCCAATTACGTCCGAATTGGAGTTGGAACTGCAAATCCCACGTATAAACTCGACTATGTCTTGATAACCTTGCAGTTGTTGGCAGGGTTGTGTGCCGTATTGCCGATTAAGTGCGTTGCCAAGCTCCCAGAACAACGGGATGTGCTCGCGTGCATTTGATGGCGCCGCTTGGAGGATGCATTCCCGGGAGAAGCCAACGGCTGCGCTAAAGGAAGACGTGGGCGTCGCTTGGCAGGGGATCAAGTACCGTGTACAACGAGTGTGAGCACTACCGTACCTCGCTCAAAAACACACCGAGCTAAGACGGTTCCAAATGCACACTCCCCGACACTAGACTACCACCACCCAACTGGACGACAAGGGTAGATCTGGGTTGTTCATCCTACCAACCGCGGCGAGATTGATTAGGACGCAGAAACAGTGCTGGATAAGCTTACCTGATGGCGCGCAAGATCTGGAAATATTCGCCATGGGGCCTGGATCGCAAGGTGCGATGTGCAGTGCCCTGAAACTGTCGCAAATTCATCAACGCATAGACAAATTCGATCATCGAAGGAACAGAAGGACCGACGTCGACAGCCTTGCAATATCAATCCCCTGATACTCATCTGCATTAGCTCAAATACCACGTTCGCCAAGGCAAATTGCTATCGAGATGGCCAAGACAAAATTGTATGTGGATTGACGGACTTTGTGCCGGAAGGCGTCACCTTTCGTGGGGGACCAAGCCGGAAGGCTTATGGTCCCGAGCGGGAGGGATGAGGTGAGGCCTTGGCTGTACATTGGCTTCTTGATCAAGTCATTCGTCCAAATGCAAGCTGGACCGTCGGGCAAGCCCCGATGGTCCGGAACAAGGGTTATTGTTGGATCCAATGAGACATGCAGCAATGACAAAGGGAGAGACTGTTAGACTGTCAACGAGGTTACTCCCAGCTCGCGTGCCTGCGTGAGTGGGGGACGAAAGGGACCATTTTTGAGCTGAAACAGCAGACGCAGCCGGCCACTGCGGGATAAATCTGTTTCGATCTCGTAAGGAAAAGGCGGGAAACGACCGACGACCCAGCGATGGCCCGAGAGTATTACGCGGAGAGTGTTACGATGGTCCATATTGAAATGGAAGCAAGCTAATACGCGGCCACGATCGCCCAGATTGGAGATCCGCGTTCCCTGAAATGAGAAAAGACACATGCGACGCACTAATATGAGCAATATGGAAGGGTCTATTGCGACAGATAAGATTTCGGACTTGCCATATTGCACCATGCCAGTGCGTCGACTTGTAAGTTGAAGCTATTGATCGAGAGCTGGCCGCTTCACACACGACTCGGAAGATCGGCAACATGTATCACGGTCAAGCTGTCAATCTAGAGCCTCTTTGACGCACAGTAGGTGCAGTTGTTCGAGTCTAGACCTGATGTGTGACCGCGCAACCACAGCCTTGGGAAGCTAAAGTTGTCTTGGTGCACTCACTTTGAGAGACAGCAAGGGTTGGGCGCTGGACCGGGGGTGGTGGAAATTGACGAATGGACGAATAGACAAATGAGGATGGATGTGCACTTGTTACTGGACTCCCCGAAAATAGGGACCCATCTTGAATCCTCAGCCGTAGAGCACGGATGTCGTGATGGCTGAGCAATAGTCTCACCGGAAGCAATTCTGGACTACATGGAGGGCTCAGGACTTTCATGACGAAGCTTGGACATGAGAGATTTGCAATTGTATTGTGGGCTCTGTTCCGTAACCACACCGGCATTCGCGATGCGATATCGAGTCTCATGAAGGTTATTCATGGTCCCGTAACGCCAGGGACGTTAGCACCGGTAGCAAAGGGGAGTGGGGCCGAAGCGTTACGGGGAGTTGGGGTATGGGCCGATGAGGCCATCATGATGAAAATTGGGTCATTGAAGAGATTGAACAGCGAAAAAGTCTTCATCCAGAGCGACGATTCACTCTTTCTCAAGGGAGCAATGGCACCAAAACGATGTAATAAAGCAATGAAAGGCTTGAGAGTCCAACAGCGTTCATCTCCCCGAGAATAGAAGCCTGCATGGAACGAAAAGCTCTCAGGCCGGTAACGGCGAGGTAAACTTCAAAGACAGGGGTACCTGAGCTACCTGACCAACTCCCCGAAGGTCCCTGAAGGATGTGCCCTCACCCACTGTAAGCCGTGGATAACAATACTCCGTACGCTACACAATAAATGTGGTGCATAATTCACAACAATTTTCACGCTCGATTTCCTCCGTGTCTCGATGGGATGAGTTCATTGTCCATTTCTAATCCAATGATGATCTCATTTTACCATCAAAGCTTTTATGGTTTCAAGTCTACTACTCCATAATGGGAATAAGTCTGCCGCTTAGAAAGCGGAACTAAACCGTTAACGGCTTTAGATCAAATGGCGCAATCGGGGACCATATCGTCGCGAGATCTAGCAGGGATTTTCTCTTTTCATGAACTTTGAGCGTTGTAATGCAAGGTCGGCATAATGCTCACAGACCTTTGTCATTTTGATCAATACTACCTACAGAGCATCAGAAGCCTCGCTCAATGCAAGCTCTGAGAGAAAATTGTTCTTGAAGAGATGCGATCTTGCCACGGAGACGACACGAATGTTGGTGGAGTTTTGGCGGAGCTGAATTGGGATAGCGACAATTGCATGCTCAGATCCTGGTCAGCACGCAATGGTTCTAATGGAGCCCCGGACACCCAGCTTTTGCCGCAAACTCCCCACGCTACCTCCATCAATTCTGCAGCTTGACGCGGTACAAGACAAGACAAGAGAAGAGAGAGCTTGGGGTGTGAAGGAAATGACACACCGCACGAGGGTCCGAGGAGACCTCTAATGTGACCCCAGCTCGCATGTACACGCTACAAAGGATACAGGCATTACCAGTAGCACCCACAGTTTTTTTGGCGTTCGTCGATCCCTGTTCACTCGCTCAGTGAGACTCTCATCTCCCCGCTCGCAAAAAAAAGAAACGTTGTGGCATTGGATTTGGGCTGTGGTCACGATTGCATGAAGCCTGAAAAAGGGCTGGATTGAGACGAAATGACACTACCGCGTGGGCCAGGCCAGACCAGACCAGGATAACTACAGGTTCAGGGTCACGGAACGATAGCGACAGCTTAGCAATTGACTTCACAAACAATACACACGCCCTTGGACTCGGATCGCCGCTGGTGGTCAGCCATTCCGGTCTAAATTTATATGTGGCCCTTCCTCGCCTCTTTCTTCTCGATTATCTCTCTCTCAACCTCGCTCCCACTTCTCAATTCCCTCAACGGGTCTTAACCCCATATATATCCTACAGATCGACTCGATCTGGCTCACCATTTCCATCCCTCAACCCTCTGACCCTGAAGACCCAAGAACTTCAGTCGTCATAGCTACCTCGACTACTTGTCCTAACTAGGAGAAAGTCTTGCTAGCGCTGCATCACACCCCCGACCGACCGAGCGACAATCCGACTTGGGGACCCACGGCACGTCTTGACGACTCAAATACCCACGTTGTGCCGTTGCTGATCAACCTTTTTGATCTCCCCGTTCTTGCATACCTACTCAACAATCTTATTTTATCTCCCTTCTCCCATCGTCTTTTTTTTTTTTGAGCGTTGTCCTTTCCCCCCAGTTGGTTTTGCTATTGCTGTTCCAACATGTCTCAACCTGGCAAGAATTCTGCCAAGACGGCCTTGGAGAAGTTCATCGGCGCCGATCACACCGAACCCGAAGAGAAAGCGCCTTCAATCACCAATGCAGACCTTTACATCGAAGAGGAGCCTACAGTCGGTGAATTTCTTCGAGAAATCACACCCAGCGCTCGTGCTGTTGGAGAATACTTTTACAACCTCTTCCCGTTCTTGTCATGGGTCGGCAAGTACAATTTGATCTGGTTCATTGGTGATTTGGTTGCCGGTAAGTTAACTCCCCGGTGCGGTTTCATTCTCGGGGAGACTCTGTTTGCTGACATCAACTCCCCGCAGGTATCACTGTTGGTGCTGTCGTTGTTCCCCAGTCTATGGCCTATGCCCAGCTGGCACAGCTTCCCGTCGAATATGGATTGTACTCATCCTTCATGGGTGTCTTGATCTACTGGTTCTTCGCCACATCAAAGGACATCACCATTGGTGTAAGCACGCTTTGATCTTGTTGAACGACTTTAACTGACTCTTTAGCCCGTCGCTGTCATGTCCCAGGTCACAGGCAACATCGTCCTCAAGGCTGCCGATTCCCTGCCGGACGTTCCTGGTCACGTTGTCGCCTCCGCCCTTGCAGTCATCGTCGGCTCAATTGTCACATTCCTTGGTCTCGCTCGTCTTGGCTGGCTCGTTGAGTTCATCCCTCTGCCTTCCATCTGCGCTTTCATGACTGGCTCTGGTGTCAACATTATCGCTGGCCAGGTCCCCAAGCTTATGGGCATCAAGGGTGTCAACACCCGTCAGGCAACGTATCGTGTGATCATCGACACCCTCAAGAACCTGGGTGGCAGCAAACTCGACGCTGCTATTGGTCTGTCAGCCCTGACCATGCTCTACCTGATCCGTATTTTCTGCAGCACCATGGCCAAGAAGCAGCCCCAGCGCGCTAAGCTGTACTTCTTCATTTCGACCCTGCGAACTGCTTTTGTCATCCTGCTGTACGTTGGTATCAGCGCTGGCATGAACATCAACCACCGCTCCAAGCCCCGCATCAGCATTGTCGGCGACGTTCCCAGTGGTAAGCTATCTCGTCTCACAATTGATAATCAATCTAGTAACTGACTAACTCTTCAGGTTTCACTCACGCTGCTGTCCCCGAGATCAACACCCCCATTATCAAGTCTTTCGTCTCTGAGCTTCCCGCTGCTGTCATCGTTGTCCTGATTGAACACATCTCCATCTCCAAGTCTTTCGGCCGTGTCAACAACTATGTTATCGACCCTTCTCAGGAACTTGTCGCGATTGGTGTCAGCAACCTTCTCGGTCCCTTCCTTGGAGCTTACCCCGCCACTGGATCTTTCTCCCGAACTGCCATCAAGTCCAAGGCCGGTGTCCGAACTCCCTTTGCTGGTGTCATCACTGCAATTGTCGTCTTGCTTGCTCTCTACGCCCTTACTGCTGTCTTCTTCTACATCCCTAACGCAGGCCTTGCTGGTGTCATCATCCACGCTGTCGGAGATGTCATTACTCCTCCCAAGGTTGTCTACCAGTTCTGGCGTGTCTCACCCATCGAGGTCATCATCTTCTTCGCTGGTGTACTCGTCACCATCTTCAGCTCCATCGAGAACGGTATCTACACCACGATCGCTATGTCCGCTGCTGTCGTCGTCTTCCGTCTCTTCAAGACCCGTGGCCGCTTCCTCGGTGTTGTCCGTGTCCGAACCATGAAGGCCAACGTCAGTGACGGTACCGCCAGCCCTGGATCCGTTGACGAGGGTGAGGGTTCTCTCCGAGCTGGTTTCCTTCCCCTTGATCACGGCAACGGTTCCAACCCTAAGGTCATCGTCCGCACTCCTTACCCTGGTGTCTTCATCTACCGATTTGCCGAGGGCTTCAACTACCCCAATGCCTCTCACTACCTGAACCACCTCACCGAGACCATCTTCCAGGAGTGCCGACGAACTAACCCTGCTCTTCTGGGTAAGCTTGGTGACCGGCCCTGGAACGACCGAGAGCCTCGCCACATCAAGACTGTTGATAATGATGAGAGACCTGTCCTCAAGGCCGTCGTCCTTGATTTCTCCAGTGTCAACAACGTCGACGTTACTTCTATCCAAGCTCTGATTGATGTTCGCAACCAACTTGACAAGTTCGCTGCTCCCGAGGTTGTCGACTGGCACTTCGCCAACATCGAGAACCGATGGACTAAGCGTGCTCTCGCTGCTGCTGGCTTCGGTTTCCGCACTCCCCGCACTAACCACGACGGCACTGGACATTGGAAGGCTATCTTCTCCATTGCCGACCTCGGCGGTGATGACAGCGCTGCTACTGCTGCTGCTCTCGATGAGAAGGCCAAGAGCGCCCCCATCAAGCAGGATATCGAGGCTGTTGACGACTCTATCAACAGCATTGGCTCCGAGAAGGGTGTAACAAGAGACCCAACCAGCGCTCGTCTCATTGCTGTGCAGGGTCTCAACCGACCTTTCTTCCATCTCGATTTGCAGGAGGCCGTCGACGCTGCCGTTTCCGCCGCTGAGTTGAAGCAGCACTAAATTGGCTATTATTACATATTAATCGTTGTGTATCTGGGTATTAAGGTGTTTCATGGAGTTTTAATATGGTAAAAGATTTGTCATGTGTTGGAATCACATCGCCATAGAGGTTGTTAGGCGATGTGTCTATACCCGATTCAGTTTTGATGTTGTTCTAGTTCTAGTGTTTATATGGGGGAAGATGTCGATGGCGAAGTTGGCCATGGCTTATGAATGACAATGACTTATCACTTTTACATGCATGCCTTTTGCTCGTGACTGCCGTAAATAGTGAAGAACTTGAGACTATACTGAGTAGCCTGACAATCCCCAGAATCCTAATATGTACTGGCAGTGATTAAACCCTTTTTATATCTGCCCTCCATGCTCGCTGTCAGATTTCGGTTCCAAGTCTTGTCTTTGAAGTCATGTGCTAAGCAAAAACACGAGCATGCACGAAGGTGGTGTGGTCATTGCCCAAGACAAATAAGAAACCAGTCCAAGGTCAATCAGTGTTCAACTTATCTAGTTGAGTGAGATACGTTACCATACTTGTAAGATCCTGAAAACTGGCCACTTGAGCAATTGATACACTGCTATCATGGATTTGGTACGTGGTGTGCATGGGAGCCTCGAGCTATCGATCGTCCACTTTGAACGACGTAATATCACTTCCAGGGACAGATTACCCCGAAGTGAAGTTTCCAAGGTGACGAAAGATTAGAGAAATAGAGGAATCGCTCTAGTGAGCCTGATATCGTACAAGCAGACTGTCTGCCATGAGTCCAATCATAATTCGTCTTGGCATCGGGGAGCGGTGACTCCATAATATTGTTGTTAGCATAGGTTCTTAAGTGAACTATTTAGAGGCAGGTAACAGTGAAGCACCACGAGAAGTGTAGTTTAATGAAGAAGCTGCGTTTGGGAAAGTGAAGGTTCTGATTGATTGATAGTTCAAGCTTATGATATCTCAACGAGATATATCAAGCCAACACACTGAAAAATACCAATTAACTTTAGGCTTCCAAAGGCAATATGCGCATAGCCTAAAGTGAAGGTTCTCGAGCGTACCTTGCCACCATTTATGTCGACTAGTCTGATGTAAGGGGCTTTTGCAGCCATGGGAAAAGTTCATAGGGGTGCTCCAGAGTTCACAAGATCCTATCTCTTGCTGGGCGAGGACTCTTCAAATGAGCTGGAATGAGGCCAATATTGTTCTGGCAAAAGGCTATTCCTAGACTCTAGCACTGTGAATCATACACTATATAGGCTTTGGTTTCGGGTCTCAACTATCTAACACCGTTGCCATCAGATGAAAACATCCCTGGCGAGTAGCGACACAGTATCGACTTACCATGAGGGGTAACTGAATATGTTGGCCATCAGTAGACTAAGTCGCAGACTCAAAGCTTCAGAAAGAACACGTGCTTCCAGAAAGTATCACGTAACTTAGCGATGAGTTGAAAGAAGGCAGTTATCGTCACCATAAGGAGTCTTCGCTTCTTTGTATTTTTGGAGATACAAATGAATATACCGCCCGACTACCTCTGTGATAGGGTTGAGGGGTCAAAAAGAGGCTTTAGCCTTAAGGCCACAAAGGTAAAGAACACCAAAAAAACACATACGGGCAAAATACTCGTCGCCCTCACTGTTGCCTAGAGCCCGACTACCTCGTAGATATCTGCTTTCCATCTTTCGGGCAGGTGAACAGGAGGACATAAGCTGGCAACGCAATGTACGTTTCAAAAGCCCATGCACATCAAGTTAACAGGAAAATCAGAAGAATTTAGACAAGTCTCATGAGAAAAGCTATCTGTGGCATCTTGTCCCCGGATGTCGGATGAACATGGGCCGTATCGTCCAACTTACCCCTGACGCCAGAATGGTTCAAGATATGGTCTGATATCTATGTCTTTCGTAACTTATCATCACTCTTGAACAAAGCTTCGGAGACTAACTGCTAGTGGTGCATATCCGGCACTAACTCCCACTACTGGTCCAGGTCTCATGCCTAGTCAAATTGAAATCGAGATGATGCAATGCGAATCTCCAGACCATAAAACAAAAATATCCCAACTCAGATTGACGAGAAAGGCAAAGGATGCAAGACCCTGAGGATCTCATCGCATGACATCATGTCCGCCGATCGGAGCAAAAGATTTGCATGGCGAATCCTTCCATCAGGAATTCTAGAAACAAATCGTCATGGATCTTGTTAGTACACGTGGAAAATACTTCCGTGCCGAGGCAAGCGGCTCCGCCGTGCTCCACTCTTCACCGGGTCCGTATCCACCGAGAGCGGTCCGAGAATCCATTTTCAACGGTTGAATTTTATTTTGAGATTACAAAGCTGGGGACAAGTTACGTGAATGATCCGAGGACCTGAAACAAACGGTCAGGACGGATAAAGATAACGATGTTTCCGAAGTAGGTATTAATGGCAAGGGGACATGTTAAGCGACTTGTCGGTGAAGAAACATCACGGTTGTCAACATATCAAATGTGCAACAAAAGAGAAGCATCAAAAGCTGGGTGCTGGAGAAGATGCTGGATCAGTCTCACCGGAAATAAACATCCCAAAACATGCAAAACCTGGAATGCCAAAATGTCCACAATGACGGACTCTTCGCTAACCCCGATATCAAGGCAAAAAGAAGCTTTCACATCCCCACTTCGGTCTCTTTCTTCAGGCTCATTCCAGAGTCAAACCCACAATCCGTGCTTCGCGTGGTCGGCCAACTCGATGAGGAAGACTGCCCCGGCCGGTCCGATAGCCCTATGTAACCGTAGCTATCGCCAGCCGTTTTCTATATAAAGACCAGCCCAGAAGCCCCCTTCGAATCGAACCATATACCCCATCTTTACACAAAACTCTATCTCTACATCTCTATAACCCTACATACATAACATCGCAACAATGGTCTCTTACAAGGTCTTCCGAGGAACCCCCGAGGGAAGGATTGTCTCTGACACCGTCGAGCGTGAGCTCCAGAACCACGAGGTCTTCATTGAGACAACACACTCTGGTGTTTGTGGAACGGATAAGCTCTACCAGCCCAGTGGAATTGTCCTTGGTCATGAGGGCGTTGGTGTTATTCGTGAGGTCGGATCGTCAGTGAAGAACGTCAAGGTTGGCGACAGAGTTGGATTCGGATACACACATCAGATCTGCGGCTCTTGCGACAACTGCTGTACAGGTAAGAAACCTGAGAGTTCTAGGAAATAACAGTACTGACCCTGCTGCAGACCTTGACCAGTACTGTCGTGAGCGTCAGATCTATGGTTTCTCTGACACTGACAACGGCTCCTTCTCCTACGGAGCTGTCTGGGACTCCAAGACCGTTGCTCCTATTCCCGATGGATACGACTCCGCTGATGCCGCCCCTCTTCTCTGCGCGGGAGCCACTGTCTACACAGTTCTCACCAAGTATGGTCTTCGCTCTCAAGATAGAGTTGGTGTTATGGGCATTGGTGGCCTGGGCCATCTTGCTATCAAGCTAGCTGCTGCCAAGGGGGCTCACGTCGTTGTCTTCTCTTCTTCCGAGTCTAAGAGACAGGAAGCCCTTGACTATGGCGCCTCTGAATTTATTGTCTTCAAGTCTGGAGACGAGGCTCCCGAGAACTTCAAGCCCGTTAAGCACTTGCTTCTCTGCGGTAGCTCAAATGTCGACTACAGCAGGTACGTACACCGCACCAGTATTTGATTCGTCACAACTAACAATCATAGCCTCGTTCCTCTTGTTGATACCGATGGTGTCATCTACCCTCTTACTGCCGCTCTGGAGTCTACTCCCGTGCCTCTGACCTCGCTCTCCCTCAAGGGCATTCGCGTTCAGGGCTCTCTGGTCAGCTCTCGCGATAGCCTTCGCAAGCTTCTTGATTTTGCTGCCAGGAAGAACATCAAGCCCACCATTATGACATACCCTCTGAACGAAGAGGGGATTGAGAAGGCTCTACACGACTTGAAGGAGGGCAAGGTTCGATACAGAGCTGTCCTTGTCAAGGAGTAAAATGGTTACGTGTTGAAGAGATTAGAAAATAGCGACTGTGGAGCTCAAATGTGTTTTGACGGAGAAAAGCGAGGTTGAAGGATATACCAAGTTGTAAGATTACGAATTTGAAGAAATTGACGTTGGCTGTTATTGAGCTAAACCCGTTTTGACTGATTGGAGCTGTCGCGATTCGGTGAAGGATTTCGTAAGGTGGTGACGACAACAGATGCATGGTGAGGAACTTTTGTAAGCTTGACGCGCTTATTAGCTTCTTATCCCGCCAAATCAAACCTGAGGAACGGAATATGCTCATATTCCAGCTCAACTTACCTAAAATTCGATTGCCATCTGTGAGGAGAGATTGTAATTCACCATGACAGAGACTATGCGTAGCTTACTGGGTTTGCCCTGGCTTAGAATAGAACTTGACTGTTATTGTCCCGAGAACAGGAATTTGGAGCTCATAGAATGTCAATAGCCAGGATCCATCTCCTACTGAAGGGGCACACCAAATTTCGTTTGATTTAAAGATTGGTCACATGGAATATCTATCTGGTCTGCTTCGCAAACACGGTTAAGTCTATCATTCCCTATTTCTCCCTGTAAGACGGCGTGAGTTTGTCCTATCGCTTGGCTGACCACCCAATCAACTCCTTTCCCCGCAGTTGATAGTGCATTAAAACGTAGTCACCCACGTAAGCACCAACTGATTCAGGTCAATTCGTCATTGGGTCTTACACTGGCATAACCAAGTTACCTTATTTATAAGATGATGATATGAATCTACTTTTCCCGTCGAGAAGACGTACAGATTGCTCAGCCACAAGCGCTATGGATGCTAATTCTTCACTCAACGTTCTGCCCGAAACTGATTTCGGTCCCTCAGCCTCGGGAAGATTTGATTTCACTGTCTTATTTGAGAATGTTGTGCTATCGATTGTCCCATCTGCCTTGTTCTTGATTCTTGTCCCGCAAAGACTACTATGGCTGAAGAGGGAGCCACGAAAAATTGTTGAGAATTCGCGCCTTCTTATCAAATTGGTTAGTGCCCCAAGGCTGTAGTCATGATGATGCTGACGATACATCAGGGTCTGATCACCCTCTATACTGGACTGCAGCTCGTGGTATTGACATACTGGACGGTTGGACCTCTGCCTACATCTAACCCTCAAATCGCTGCAGCGGCTCTTGTGTTTGTGAACGGCCTGTTGTTGGCCTTGCTGTCTTACGTCGAGCATACACGCTCCGTGAGGCCTTCAACAATCATCAACGTCTATCTACTTTTTACAGCCCTCTTCGATTGCGCTATATCAAGAACTCTTTGGCTTCTTGACGGAGCGCACGCAGTTGCGAGGCTGTTCACGGCAGCAACCAGCGCGAAAGCTCTCATTCTCATATCTGAAGCATGGGAAAAGAGGTCCATACTGAGAGTCCAGTACCGCGATCTATCACCAGAGACGACGAGCGGTATATTAGGCCGTAGTGTCTTCTGGTGGATCAACCCTCTGATGAAATTAGGATTCTCCAGCTTCTTGACTGAACGGGATTTGTATGTTGTTTCGTCTACTAGAATACTGGTCCAACTAATACGATAGCAGGTATGCCATCGAAAACAGTCTGTTGGGGAAGAGATTATTCGCACAAGCTGAGAAGTCATGGCGCACCGGTGGGTCCACAATGCATCTACGCGGCATGTCAAGCTGATAGGAATTCCAGCAAAGCAAATAAAGAGTAACGCTCTCTTTTGGTCCACGATCTGGTCGTCTAGAAGAGTCTTTCTCCTTGGAATATCATCACGTATTTGCTTGATGGCTTTCAAATACGCACAACCCTTTCTTATTCAGAGAACAATTGTATTTGCGAGTAACCTGGATGAAGATAAAGCCATTGGATGGGGTCTTACGGGAGCCTGGTGTTGCGTCTTCATTGGACTGGCGGTTCGTGTCTCGCCCATTGCTCTTGTAGTATCCAGTCTGACATTCTAAAGATCGCTAACGCATTCTACTGGCATATGACCTATCAGTAAGATCAAACTCCTGCTGATTAAGAAACCAGCGCTAATTATCTAGGTTTGTCACCGCCGTCAGGGGTAGCTTGATCAGCCTGGTATATAACAAGACCCTCGATTTGAGCATCACGGCTTTTGACGAATCAAGTAAGAGAAGACGGTTCTTAGGCAAGGTACATAGTTAACATCTTGCAGTCGCTGTAACACTGATGTCTGCCGATACCGAAAACATCTGCTTAAACTTCGCAAGCATACATGAGATGTGGGCCTCGCCTATTGAGTGCGCAGTGGCTTTATATCTCCTATACAGACAGCTTGGCATGGCATTTCTGGCCCCTATGGTTGTGGCAATAGGTTTGAATTCTCTATTAATAGTAACTTCACTTCTAACACGGGATTAGTCTCGACAACTGGCATCCTGATGATAGCTAAGTATATCGCGAACGCCCAAAAGCAGTGGGTTCGTGGTATCCAAACGCGCATCGATGTTACTGCCTCGATGCTGGGTTCAATGAAAGTAAGTGCTCAATTCAAAGATGCTTGGTCCGAGTTACTGACCGCAATTGCAGGAAGTGAAAATGCTTGGCCTGACGGATGTTCTCAACAACATGGTCCAGAGTCTGCGTGTCAGAGAATTGAACCTGTCCAAGAAGTTCCGTAAACTCATGTGTTGGCGAGTCTTCTTCCGTAGGTCTACGATTTACTTCTTGAATACGGTGTATCGCTAACTTAACCCCCTAGAAAATACCATGGAGGCCATAGCTCCTCTCGCTACATTTGCGACCTATGTCGTCATATCGCAGGAGACAGGCAACCCTTTGAGTACCGCTTCGGCATATACTTCTCTTTCACTTATCTATCTTTTGTCAAATCCTATGTCCACGCTCATACGAACAATCCCTGGAATGAAGGCATCGCTTGCATGCTTTGATCGAATGCAGGGCTTTCTGCTATCGGATAGCTGCAAGGATCACCGCTTACCTCTCAGTGTCCGCGATAGTCCAGGCCAACAAAACACCCAAAGCTTCGGGCCACATGCTGTTGCTCAGGACCGAGCTTCGATTGAGCTACTCGACCGCTCCAACGAATCATCAGTGGCAGCTGGCCAGCCTCTCATGATCGTTTCAGAAGCCAGCTTCGGATGGTCCAAGGCTGAAGCCCCGGCTCTCCGCAATATTTCCTTTCCTATCCGTAAATCCCACTTCACCTTTGTGATTGGCAGTGTTGGGTCTGGCAAAAGCACTCTCATGAAGGCCTTACTTGGCGAGCTACAACCGTACAAGGGATTTATATACACGGATGCTCGACGAATAGCATTTGTTGACCAGAAGCCATGGATTCAGAACTTGACAATTCGACAGAACATCCTCGGCATATCCACTTATCACAAAGATTGGTATGATAGAGTTGTCCATGCATGTGGGCTCGAGCAGGACATTGGCGAGATGCCTGACAAGGATGCCACGAAAGCGGGTAGCGGTGGTGTTTCTCTCAGCGGTGGCCAGAACCAGAGACTTGCACTTGCAAGGGCCATTTACTCAATGGCAGGAGTGCTTATTTTCGATGATGTCTTTTCAGGACAAGATGCTTCGACAGAGGAGCATATTTATAGGATGCTCTTTTCAGAAGCAGGGTTGCTAAGAGAGCTTGGCACGACTGTTGTTTGTGTAACCAACGCCAGTGAGTTCAGCTTCCGCCAGGTCGAAGTGAAACATACTAACATCCCATAGTTCATCGGCTGGCATATGCAGACCACGTAGTTGCTCTAAGCGAACATGGCACAGTTCAACATCAAGGCACATTTGAGCAACTCAAGAACGACACTGATTACTTCAGTGGTTTACATCTTCGGCAGAACGGGGCTGCCAAGGGAGACGGCGACTCCTCGAAAGCCAACGACAAATCAACTTCAGCACCTCAAGGACCAGAAGAAGAGAATGAATCTGCTAACCGAGCACTGGGAGAACTTGCTACTTATGGTTACTATTTCAACACAGTACCCAAGTGGCATGTCCTGTTGTTAGTGACGCTCACAGTCTTGTTCGGCGCGGCCCACAAGATGACTGAGCTATTGCTAAGTTTCTGGACTGGCCATTCTGTTATTACTCAACAAAGCGTCAACAACTTCTACCTCGGACTCTACGCGATGCTAGCTGGACTTGCAATAATTGGTATCATGGGTGCAGCTGTGCATTACCTTGTTATCATGGTACCTTTGAGCAGCGAAGTTCTGCATGCCCGGCTACTTCGGACAGTTATGAATGCTCCATTGTCATTCTTCTCGAGGATGGATGTTGGCGTCACAACAAACCGCTTCAGCCGTGACATGTCCGTCATAGACACCGAGCTTCCGTTTGCATTGATTGACCTGGCCATTGACACCAGCGTCACCGTCATGTCTGTTATACTGATGTGCGTGTTCTCTGGATACTTTGTGGCCACGCTGCCCCCTCTTGCTTTCTTCTGCTGGTGTAAGTTTCGCTCCTGGCCCCCTTGTTACCGTGCACTGACAATTGCGCCAGTGCTTCAGAGATTCTACCTTCGAACTTCTCGTCAGATCCGAATCCTGGAGTTACAAGCAAACTCACCACTATTCACGCAATTCCTTGATACCCTTCAAGGTTTATCCAGTGTCAGATCCTTCGGCTGGGTGAAGGAGTTCGAAGAACAACACTTCCAGTTCCTCGACGCATCTCAGCGTCCATACTATCTCCTCTTCAGTATTCAGCGCTGGCTAGCTGTTGTCCTTGACCTTGCAGTTGCAGCGCTGGCTACAATCCTGATGGTTCTCATTGTTAAGCTTCGAGACAACTTCGAGCCGAAGTTTGTGGCAATGGCCCTTCTCAATGTGACATCTTTTTCGCAGTATCTCACGCAACTCATCAAGAATTATACACAATTAGAGACTTCTCTGGGTGCTGTTAGTCGTACTAAAGAGTTCTGCACCACAACTGACAGTGAGAATCTTCCGTACGAGGTTGTCACTCCACCCGAGAGCTGGCCTCCTCAT